TAAAAATCATTATTTGACGAGTGGTATTTCACTTTGAGTAATTCTGAAATTAAGGGAAAAGACGGATTTTGGACGGACAACGTATAGGAATGCCCTGACCAGGGGCGGCTGGCCCCTTAAGCTGCAGAACTTCCAAAACTTTTGTCTTAACAGAAAAAAGCAGTAGTAATTTGATCATTATTTATTTTCCATGTTATCACACAAATAGAAACAATACCGGCCTGCCCCCGCAAGACACGGAGTCGAGTCTGTTTTGCAGCATTATGATCGACCAATTGTGTACTTGTCATTTTCGTCGCTACCGCAGCGTAACATTATTCATGGGCCACTTAAAAAGGGTCTGTGCACTACTTCGACATGTGCTGAAATTTATGCAGATCCGTACAGATCTAGTGCGAAGTACGATATCTGATTGATCGGTCGGAAAAATTTTTTATTCAGGTATTTTGGGTCTTACGCTGAACGACTAGTGACTAACTGAATGACTGTGGCTGTGTAGAAGGGTAGTGCAAGACAATGGATGTGGTTTACAGAGTTATCAGCGTGAAACGATTCTGGAAATACCCTTTTGAAGAAAAAATTGAGCTGAAGGTGTCAGATAGACGGCTGCCGGACATATTTATAGGAACACAGGGGGTTAGTCGGGGCAAGGGCTATACGCGGCATTTCAGCAGGGAGATTTACACTAGAAATGACTGGATTTGTGGGTGCAACAGGAAGATGCCCTTTTCTGCTTTCCTTGAATACTTTTCGGGGGTAACAAAGCTTGGACGGACAGATTTAGTGCACCTGAGTGAAAAAATTAAGAAGCATGAAAACTCTAAAACACATCTTCATAATTCGATGGAATTTTCTTTATTACTGTTAGCATCAGAGCTCAGTTAGATTCAGCATATTGGAGAAATATACAACAGCATAATGATACCGTTACAAAAAACAGGTACGTTCTATCAAAAATAATCGATTGGGGATTTGGAAGATATTCCGGGATTTTTTAATTATTCTCCTCAACGCGTAGAGGTACTGAACAGAATTGTGGGCAAAGAAATTTCACAAGGAGCAACAACTCGTTGGAATTTTAGTATTCGAAGAATAAATGTAGTGTTTGAGAACAGAGAATCACTCATTGAATGCATGGAAGAAATAGAAGAAAATTTTACTAATGAAACCGTCTGCAAGGCAGCTTGCGGTATTCGCCGTATGTTAGATGATTCTGTTTTCGTGTTTTGGTTGACATTTTTTCATCATGTCATGCCTCACGTCGACATCTTGTTCAACCAGTTGCAGAAGAGAAAAAGCGAGCCAGCGCAAGTTAAAACGGCTATCGATAACTTTGAAAAATGTATTTTCGATGTGAGAAATAGAATTGATGACATAATAAATGAAGCCAAAAGTATTTGCACTGAACCCCAAGGCAACAAAAGGAGACGACGTAATAATAACAGTCACGATCACCGAGTTGCCGCATTAGACGTATGCGACAATATAGTGAATTCTGCAAATGACAGATTTCAATTCAAAGATCATTTGGTAGCAGCATCCCTTTTTTTCCCCGAACACTTTGGAGAATACTGAGGTAAGTTTCCTGATGACAAGTTGGAAACTACCTGCTTGCCTTATCCCGAATTAGAAAAAAGTCGTTTAAAGACAGAGTTGTCTGTTATTTATGCACGGAACGATTGCCGAGATTTACATAGCACTCCGTCTCTTTTGAAATTTTTGATACAAAATAGTTTGGAGGAAACACTAAAAGAAACAAAAAAGATATTAGAAATCGTTGTTACAAACTCCTATGTCAACATCAGAGGCTGAGCGAAATTTCTCAACATTGAAAAGAATCAAGACTTTTCTTCGTAATACTATGAGCCACGATCGCCTTACAGCGTTGTCGATGCTGTCCATTGCAAAGGAATCTATTTCGACCATGGACAAGTTCAACGGGAAGGTGATCGACAAATTTGCTGCCAAGAAGCAGCGCAGGATCGAACTGACATAAAAAATAGGTAAGTTCGGATTTGCAGAAAACCTGTTTTATTTTGCCACGAGCCGCCACTGGCCCCGACAATGTTAGATACTAACATAAAGCGGAATTTGCTGATAAAATCCTTGTCTGGTACTAAATTTCTAACAGGGGTGTATGCCAACTTTTTGTGGGAAGAGTTAGGGGTGAAGCTTTGAATAGTCAGAGCTATATTGATAACTATCTTTCCAAATTGCTCCGGCTTGTCCACGAACATCACACTAATGACCATATTGTGTTTTGGCCAGACCTAGTAACATGCTATTACTCAAGAGTTACCCAAGAAAGGCTCCGACAACACAATATACCTTTTGATCCCAAAAACTATAATCCCCTAAACTTGCTCGCCCAGTAGAGGATTTTTGGCCTTTACTGTGTGGGAAGGTTTCTCAGGAGGCTTGGAAGCCCAAGACGAAGAACAATCAAGTCGGCGAATTTACGAAAAACTGAGAGAAATCTATCTGAATTCCGTCCAGAACCTCATAGAGACATTCTAAGAAAGCTGCGTCTGGTACTGCAGAATGGGTCAGTCCACATAATTCGATAGTATATGTAGTTTAGTTCAGTATTGAGTTGTAATTTATGATAACTAGCTAGTGTGTAAATAAACTTTTTTATTAAGAAGATCGATTAATATTTTGTACCAAAACTTTTATGACATACGTTATTTAAAAGCGATGTTTAAACGTATATGATATTGCAGTTGTTTTTAAAACAATTGAATGATAGGCTCATGCAAAAATATGTAAGTTTGTATAAACCTGGGAGACCTCCACGATATATTATATCCTTATATGAAATTAGCGAAACCTTGTGTGACACTTTTTTTTCCAAAAAAATGTATTCTCAAAACCATATTGAGTATGCTTGAACAGTGTCTCTTGGAGTTTTGTGTTATATTTGTTAGAAAATGCCATATCCATTTCTATTTTCAGTTAGAATAAATAATTTGCATCTTTACGAATACCCGCTCCAAGTTTTTGCAAAAGCCAGAGGCGTACTGTTGTATAGAGACTCGCCGGCACAAATGTGGCTAATCTATGTGCCTTAGTAAAACTATTTCCTACGAGGCTTTAGAATCTACAGTAATTAATTTATGTACCATAACTGGTCTCGATACATAATTTTGCCTGGTGCTAAGGTGAATACCAACAAGGACAAGTTCAACCCCCCCTTGTATTAAGGAAGTCAAGCATCTCAAGGACCTTGAATGAATTTTTTTCATATTAATATAATAACAAGCTTTATTCCAACAAGTTTGCTCCCAATCACATAAACATCCAATTATAAACATCAAGTTAGAGATTCTATTGTATATAATAGTTCTTTTTACAAAATGGTTTTGAAACATTAATGAGAAACAATATTCCAGGAGAAAAAAACATAAACATGAACATGAATGACAGTTGGCACAAAAAATAAATATCAAAAAATTACGGCTCCATTTGCAAGAATAATCACTAGTGGTTGAGCACTGCACATGTTTGTTTAAAACTACTTAAAATATTATCATTATTGATATCGCATCCTTCACAAATACATCACACAACCTTTTAACAGGAGACATGTCTGATATGTTGGTTCTACCCCTAGCGCTCTAAAAAGGAAGCGCAAAATTGATTTTAGATAATAATTCCGGGCAATCAAGTTTATTATTAACCAGACCATGAATCACTGTAATGTAATTTCAAAATTCATGACTTGAACTAGCATGTTGTGTGGGACGCCTCTCAGGATATATGCCATAAAATTTGAAATGCATGTATTTTAGGCACTGGACAGATCCAATAGCTGAAATTGAAATTGAAAATTCTGTTAAATTGCCGACCAAACAAGTGCCGCATATTGCAATTTACTCCTAATAAAAATGTATACGAGAGGGTACCCAAATAAACCGAAATTATTTTTTAAAAGCTATTTATTTTCAACTTTTTCAACAAAGTAACCTTATCTCCTACAAAATACTGTCCACTACAACTAATACACTTGTATCACCGATGCTTCCACTGATCGAAACGTTGTATGAAGTCTTCCTTAGAAATGTCTGACAGCTCCTCCCTCGTTTTTTTCTTGACCTCTTCAATATTGTCAAAGCGGCGTCCTTTCATGTCCCTTTCCATTCGTGGAAATAAGAAAAAGTCGCACGGACCCAGGTCAGGCGATTCAGGTGCGTGAGGCAGCGGAACCACGCCATTTTTAGCCAGAAACTCTCTGATGATCTTTGACAGAAAATTTGGATCCGATTCCAGCTGTTGTTTCAACCCGATGTTCTTTTTGATTGTCAGTCAGAGTCCGAGGAACAAACTTGGCAGCAACCCGTTTCATTCCCAAATCTTCTGTTAAAATTATCTGAACCGAACTCGGAATTTTCAGCTTTAACAGTGGCGTGTGTACGGATATTGACTTAAACTAAACACATTAGGGGTAATAAACAACAACAACTAACAACATAAACATAACATTAAAACGAACGAAATGATTACAAAGATTGTTGAAAAAGGCCCTCCTTCTTACGGAATTACGCACTAGTAGAGGAGAGGGTATAAATATGGGCTAGGCGGGGAATATGGGCTACGTTGATATTTCTGATGCACCTAGAGTCATCTATCGAGTAATGTATCAATTAGATGCTCTTTAGAGCACCTAACCGCCTGCTGATCACAGAATTCTTCTTTTCACATATGCAATTCAGTTTCGTGTGATTTGGTCTTTATCAGTGTTTATAAGTTTTGCAGTGGTGGTTATTTGTCGCTGTAACCAAGTAGGCTTTAGAATTTAACTGGATTTTTATAGCTTACAATTGAAAATAAGGTTCGTATTTTTAGATTTTGTTTTTAATTTTACCCAGATATAAGATATAAAATATTTGTGGAGTTTCAAACTTTTTGGAGGTTATGTGCAATATGGGCTGGTATTACGTTTGTAATATGGGCTAGCCCATATTTGTAACAGTAGTAGAAATCATGAACCTTGTTTTAGAATGCCACGCAGAAAAGCTATTGTTAGTCCCAAGTTGAGCGCCAAGAAACGGAAGACATGGGATGTAGACCATACGAAAAGGGCTGTTCAAGCGGTAAGAGAAAAAACTATGGGTACTCTAAAGGCAGCTAAAACTTATGGCGTTCCAAGAACTACAGTGCAGCGATTGGCCAAAATGGACCATCTTAGCGTGGAGGAGGCTGTTCAGATCAAATTAGGGCGAGGTACAGTTTTGACTCCAGAATTGGAAGAATCATTAGTTCGCTATATTCTTGAAATGGAAGCCAAGTTCTATGGTTTAACCCGCAAAGACGTTAAACGTATGGCATTTTACTTAGCAGAAGAAAACGGCATAAGGCATCCTTTTGGGAATACACAAACAGCAGGAAGGGGCTTTTTAGATCTATTTTTGCAAAGACACAAAATTTTGTCGGTTAGAAAACCTACTGGGACATCATTTGCACGTGCCAAAGGGTTCAACAAAGAGAGTGTGGACAACTTCTTTACACTTTTGGAGAAAGCATATGAAGACCACAATTTCCCAGCTAATCGCGTCTTTAATGTAGATGAGACTGGTCTAACTGTTGTGCAAAATAAAGTGGCTGAAGTGGTTGGTCGTAAGGGCAAAAAACAAATTGCATCTTTAACATCATTAGAAAGGGGGTCTTTAATCACTTTGATTACCTGCATGAATGCAGGGGGAGACTTCGTTCCACCGATGCTCATATTTCCTAGAAAAAATATGAATGTGCAATTAATGAAAGGCACTCCTCCAGGATCAATATCAACAGTTCACCCAAGTGGATGGGTTCAGGCCTCATTATTCGCCCAGTGGTTCGAACATTTCATCAACACGGTAAAACCAACTGCATCTTCACCTGTTCTTCTAATTTTAGATGGACATTATAGTCATACCCGTAATTTAGAGGTTGTTATTATGGCGAGAGAAAATCATGTTTGCATAATCTCATTACCCCCTCATTCAACACATAAATTGCAACCTCTTGACAAAACTTTCATGGGTACATTAAAATCTTACTACAGCGAAGAGATTAGACAATGGATTCGTCATAATCATCGTCCCTTAACCCAATATGATATGGGCGAACTTTTGGGAAGGGCTTATCTCAAAAGTCAGACTGGAGAAATCGCCGTAAAAGGATTCCGCCTTACTGGAATTTTTCCGATTAACAGGAATATTTTTTCCGAAGTGGACTTTCTTGCAGCCGAAATAGAAAAAGGAACAGAACACTGTACCGCTGAAAATGACTTCGATCAGAGCACACTGGGCACATCTCAATCAGATCTAGAGCCTCCTAGTCTAGACAACGTTCAACCCGGGCCAAGTGGTAAATTTCAATCTGATGTAGAGCTACTCAATCACGACAGCGTTCAGCCTGGACCATCTGGGATCAAAAAAAAATGGTGACTCACTTCGATATTTCACCAGTTCCGATCTTAAAAAAAAACAAGTAATAGGGGTAGGAAAGCATCACAAGCAGCAGTAATTACTTCGTCCCCTTACAAAGATGAATTATTGTTGAGCACTGCCAATAAAAATAAACAAAAGATTAAATCTATTAAAAAAAAGGTGTTTTCTCAATCAACCAAAAAGAGATCGTCCATATCTTCGAAGGAGAATAAAAAGCAGCAATCTTTAGGAGAATCTGAAAGTGATGACGATGAAACAGAGCTGATGTTAGCAGATGATGACTTAGATTTGGATGATCTGCCTGGACAAAAGGAACCAGATGATTTAGATGCGGAATGCATCTTTTGTGAAAGTAAATTTTCCGAAGACCGCAAAGGAGAACTATGGGTTCAATGTTTAATGTGCAATATGTGGTGTCATGTCGATTGTGCAGGTGCTGATAAAGATGATTATGTTTGTGACTTTTGTCGCACTGGATAATATCTAATGTGTTCTTGCCAACTGCTTCTGTTTTTTCAAAATTTTGCTCTTGAATAAAGCTCTTAGTTACCATGTGTAGGTATTTTTTCTGGTAGCCCATATTTGTATCACTATCTCAATATCTTTTATGATGCCAATTTTATTTAAACATATAAAAAATCGAATATGGTTTATGTAAAAAAAATAAAAACTGACAGCATCATGTTAGATTAGGTTCAGCTTATCCGAGAAAAAAAAAGTTGAGCCATATAGACCAAATATGTGTCAAATATGCCAATTAAATTAAATGGTAGCCCATATTTATACCCTCTCCTCTAGATATATCCTTGGAATGTTTTTTATTCTATCACAAGCTTCAACTATTCTTTCTCTTAATTCCTCTACAGTGTTAATGGGACTTGTGTACACTAGTGTCTTAAGATAGCCCCACAAAAGAAATCTAAACTGTTGAGGTCTGGGGACCTTGGTGACCATTCTTGCGGCCCACCGTGGCCAATCCAACGATTTGGATAAACAGTTTGTAAACAATTACGAACCGATACACTGAAATGCGCTGGTGCACCATCATGCATGTACCACATATTGTTTCTTATTACTAACGGAACATCATCAAGCAGCAAAGGCAACTGTTGTTGAAGAAAATTGAGGTAATTCAGTCCGTCAAGTCGTCCCGGCAAGAAGAATGGGCCAATAAAGTGGTTGCCAATAAATCCTGCCCATACGTTAACCGAAAATTGGTGTTGGAAATGGGTTTCGGTTACGGCATAGGGATTTTCTTCTGCCCACAATGATTATTGTGGGAATTCTGAATGGCATTTCATGAAAAATTAGCTTCGTCCGTGAACAGAATCATTGATTCAAATTGCGGCTTTTGTGTAGTTTTTTGAAGATACCACTGACGAAAGGTCACACGCCTTGGAGAATCAATGGGGAGGAATGCCAGTACTCTTAAAATATGGTAAGGATATAACAAAAAATCCACTAAAATTCTCCAAACAGTTTGATGGCAAATATTTAAGTGTCTATCGATCTTCCTCGTACTCGTTTCAGGATATTCTTGGACTTCATGCAGCACTACTACCTCAATTTCAAGTGTTCTCACACTTAGAGGTCTACCTTCAGATGTTCCTTTTCGGACAGAACCAGTTCCAACAAGACGATGATGAATATTAGAAAAGGTTCGACTATCTGGCAAAGCACGATCGGGATATCTCTGGTGATAAATCCGTCTGGCTTGTTCACCATTACCGTCGGCAAGTCCATATACGTAATGCATTTCCGCCATTTCTGCATTTGAATAATTCACTATTATTAACAAGATTGTAAGAGCTAAATAATGAAAAAGATGTCACAGCGAACAGATTTGAATAACAGAGGCTTGTCAGATGTCAAAAGCCAGTGACATATTCCAGAGCAATTAGATGTTTATTGCTAAATTGCATTCTTCAATTATTAGATTAATTTTCTCGGACAATAGAACGGTTTTTATTTTTTTACTCAAAAATGGCGCATCGAAGGAAAACAATTCAAGAGAGATCGTTTGTTTTAAATTGAACGGGGAATTCAAAAATGGCAAAAAGCCATTGGCGTGCTATTTTTTTTCTTAAAAAATATCGAAGTCAATAGCCGTACGCACGCCACTGATGAAGCTAAAAATTATTTTTTCATGGAAAGATATTCGACTTTATTAACTTCCACTACGTACTAAATATCAGTGAAATATCTGAAGCGGTTCTGAAAATATTAATTAATTTCCATTTTTTCCTAAAACCTCAACACCCGGAGTTTTTGTAACGAAACATCTTTGGACCATAGTTTTTAAAGCAAGCTAGCATTAATTTTTCACGTAGATTCACATCCTTAAATATTCGCAGATCATAAAGGAACACCCTGTATATTGTTTTAAGGGTAGCACATCAATGTGACACCACCAGTTTCAGGCAAAGTATCCCAATATCTTATTTGTTGAAGAAGCTATTCCACTTATAAGGCCAGAAAACGTCGATTTACTGTTAAAAATATACCCCTGGATCTTCAGATTGGTGTTATAAATGTAGTGCATAAACAGGACAGGATTAAGCTTGAGAGTAAGGTTCAAAATTTGATGTTTTGCAGTGCTTATAATAAGTTTCTTTCCATTTCATTTCAATGCAAATCCATACAGTCACTGTAATTTTCAATTTTACTGAATATTTTCAAATCATCTGCGAAAACTAGCTATCTTCGGATAGTCAGGCTGATCGTGATTTTGATAAAATTAAGCAGTGGTCGATAGAGTCAAATCTGTGTATAACGCATCAACTTGGTCTTGACAGTCTACTTTTTTGGAGATAAATTGTATCATGCAAGCTAAGTTACTAATAGTTGATCTTTTGGTCATAAAACCCTGCCGATATATGAGATTGTTATTGCATATCTTGACATGCTTAATCTGTATTTCAATTTTCCAGGCATTCTGTACATTAAATTGTTGTCTGTTAGACCATTGACATATTATCAGTTTTTTTTTAAATGTAAGTACTTTGCAATATTATTCGGGACAAGATGTGTTTTCGAAAAGGATCAATGACAGAAAACTGCCCAAATGGTGTCTCTTTTATTGTCGAAACTAACACAATTACACAAAAGGTGCTTGGTCTCGCTGATGTTCCACATGCAGACAAATAAAAACCACAGATGGTAAATGAAAGATTCACTGACGTTTCGGACTCATCTGCCCCGTTTTTCAAAACACAAAGTGACTAGCGGTGAAAACCGGGGTCACCTGGACAGTCAGATAAGTCTAATCTATTGCCATTGTACTTTCATTCGTCGAGGTAGCCGGAACGTCAGTAAATCTTTCACTGTCATATCTGTGGTTTCATTTGGCGGCCATTGAAACATGGATAATCAAAATTTGTCTTGTCTTTATTCCCAATATCAGCTTTTAAGTGGTACCCATAGGGTGTCCCATAATACCAAAATTTTCTCAACACTACCATACAACTTGTATAAATTCTACTTCCAATTGTATTTTCTTGCAACTAAAAGCATTTTAGTTACATGCTAATGATAATGGATTGACGGAGGGTAAGATTTGAATTTTAGGGGCATTATAAGGAATAAAGGGTCGGAATTGATGACAGTGCCACCATCCATAAAGTCGCGAAAGATCTTTTGTCAACTTTAATGTGATTATACTGCGACAAAGGGAAATTTATTGCTTTCCTAACCCTGCTTTATGCGGAAAATCTCAATTAATTTTTATTCCTATCGCGCATTCATTGTAAAATTGTATTATGATGACAATTTTCGTGAATGCAACTTTCATTTGTCTAGCTATCTGAAAACACCGAGTCACTTTGTGTCTAAAACTTTCTGAAATAAATTAAATACAAAGAGTTCGAATTTCATTTTTAATCCACAGTCAGTCGTAAATAAAGCTGGTTCGATTTTGATCGGTACAATATACAAGGATATCTATCAGATGTTCCAATCTGAATAAAATTTGTGTACAGGGGCTCATCCATGCGAGGATGGATTATTGTATTTTAGATAAAAATCACTTATGGGTTATATATGATATTTACATTTTCAGAATTAGGGTGTCCTAATTCTGTTCCCAGATACCAAAATTGTAATTTTTAAATGGAATGCCCCAAATTATACTACATATTTGGACAAACAATGCAAAATAGAAATTTTGTCTAGAAAAAAGAAAAACCCCCAAATCTAGTAACCATCAATCATTTATTTAGAAAAATGCAGTGCTGAATTTTGTAACAAAATAATTCACACACCTCAGCTTTGAAGTCGTTCTGTAGTTTTTCTAATTTTCACGTTCACTTATACAGGATGGTTAAAAACGCAAAATGTACTTTTTCTCAGCAAATTGGAATGCTTCTTATCGAACACTTGATTAATAATAATATTTATTCGAATCAATTATAATTTGTGAATAAATTGAATGCCACAAAAGGTAAATATCCGTGTTTGTGTATATCATTCTAACACATAACATAAAAATATATATAATATAGATTTGATGACTTTTGTACCGTAGATTAGCAATGTAGAAAAGATATTTATATGTTAGCAGTTTTTTTCATAAATTACATCATGCTTATATGAATATCAATAACGTCATATAAAACTATACTAAGTGACATATAAATCCGAACACCCAGTTTAAATGGTTTTATTTTAATAAAGGTTGGTGAATGTATTTATCTTACTGTAAATAACAAGTGAAAAAATTTTCAGCCTTAACAGTTGGACATTCCGGTTTTTATACTGCTTTTTTTTAATTCACTAACGCTCTAAAAATGAATATTTCAGCCGCAGTAAAGAATCAACGTTGGCGGATTTTGGTTCTTGACATCCTTTACGATCGGTTACGATGCCTAGAGTACGGAGACCTGTACGATTTCGTCAACTTAGTGAGTTTGATAGGGGCCGTATAGTGGGACTTCGGGAAGCTGGACTTTCTTTTCGGGCAATTGCAGTTAGAGTGCAAAGAAGTGTAGACACTGTGGTTAGGTGTTGTCAGGCATGGCTTCGAGAAGGCCGTACGCAAAGAGTAAGGGGCACTGGACGCCGCCGTAGAACAATAGACCGTGAAGATCGCCGCCTAAGATTATTGGCCTTAAGGGACCGTTTCTCCACTACCACCTCCATTGCAAATGAATGGTTTGCAGAACACGGAAGACCTATTGGCATGCGAAGTGTTTACCGACGAATGAGAAGTTTTGGCTTGTTTTCATACCGGCCAGACTGGGACCTCCCTTTAACTCGAGAACACCGACGTAATCGCCTTGAGTGGTGCAGACAACGGTCACTCTGGGATCAGGAATGGAACAGTATTGTCTTTAGTGACGAGTCTCGATTTTGTTTAGGCATACACGATGATCGTGCCAGGGTTAGAAGGCGACGTGGTGAAAGGAGGAATCCACAGTTTTTTGTTGAAAGACATGTTCATCACACTGTTGGAGTTATGGTTTGGGGTGCTATAGCTTATGGTT